AAAAAAAAAAAATAATAAATTAAGATATATACAAAACTAAAAAAAGAAATTTATAAAAAAAAAAAAAAAAAAAAAAAAAAAAAATTAAAAGAAAACATACTTAAAACTTAACGGTGTAAATTTAGGACTTAATGATATAAATAAAATAAAAAAAAAATAAATAAATAATACATTAAGATATATACAAAACTAAATAATGAAATATATAAAAAAAAAAAAAAAAAAAAAAAAAAAAAAAAAAAAAAAAAAAAGGATAACATAAAATTATGTGTAAAAAAAATTAAAAATATTAGTATACAATAAAATATCTTTTAAGATGTATTAATTAAATATGTTTTTCTTTAAAATTTATTCAAAAAAAGATTTAATTGTATATATCTTTTAAATAAAAAATTGGATTACTAATTTCTTTTGTTTGGATAAATTGCTCTGTTGTTGTGAACACTTCTTTATCTTTTGACATTTGTATCGACATATCTTTTTTAAATAAAGAAATTTGTGTTTGAGTTTCTACTGTTTTTTTAGTATATATTTTTTCATAATCTAAAAATATTTTAACTTCTAATAACTTTTTGTTTTTCAATGATTCGTCACTTTCAAAAGGAACCTCTTTTTTAAATTTATAATGCATATCAAAAATATTGTCTTCATATATTTCTAAAGCATTCTTATTGTACATATTTAAATCAGCTATACAATTTTCTAAAAATGTAAATTTTTTGTTGCAAAAGTTTTCTATTATTTCAACTATGATATTATAAATATTTTTATTATTTTTTAAAGCTTCTAAAATTGGACTATCGTATAAACATAAAATTTTATTTACATTTTTTGTTTTTAAAACATTTTTTTCTTTTTCGATACTTATATTTTCTCTTTTACTAATATTTGAAACACAATTTTCATTTTTATTTCCCTTATTTATATCTTGATATTCTACTATATCATCATCAAAAGAAATTTTGTCTTTATTTACATTAATTAAAAAATTATCCAAATTTCTGTTAAGACAATATAAGAATAATTTTTTTGAATTATGTGATATTTTCTTGCTTAAAACTTTTTCTAAATAATCTTCTTCTTCACCTTTGAATTGATTCAATTCAATGAAAGATGAGAATTTCTCCAAATTTTTGTTAAATATATGATTGAATGATTCAGTTTCATTATCTTCTACTAAATCATGTATTATTTCTTTTTCATTATTTTTTTTCTCAATGAAATAGAAAAACTCCAACTGATAGGCAGTAACATTTTTAAATACATCAAAATTATCTTTTTCCTTATGATTCTCTTTTTTCTCATTTAAATTTTCTTTATTATCTTTTTTTTTTTTTTTTTCATTATATATAAATGATTTATTATAATAATTATAAATAATACAACTTTCTTTTTTGATATTTAAAACAGGAAAAAATTTATAAAAATGCTTTAATAATAAATGGAACATGTGTACTAATTTAATAATCTTATAATTTAATTTTATACAAATTTTGTAACTTCTACTTAATTCTATGTATTTAAAATACAAAAAATGAAATGTATCATCTACATAATTATCAAAAGAATCCTTATTTGGAAACGCGTTAAAATTATCTTCTTTTTTCTCCATATTTATATCAAAAGAATTTTTTCTTCCTTTCCCTTTTACCTTATTAAAATTATATATTTTAACAAATATACCTATCATATTTTTAATATGTTTTTGTATTTTCATAATTTTCAATTTCATTTTTTTTCTTACAATTTTTATATATTTAAAAAAAATGAAGATATAAACATAGCAATCGTAGACTAATTCATTTATATATTCTTCTTTTTCATCTAAAGAATAACTAGAATTTAGTTTTAAAGGAATATCCTTTCTAGAATTACATAATTTGAAATTATCATTTTTAATAAACATATATGATATATTTTGTTCTCCATTCTCTTTTTTCCCAATTGAATATTTATCAAGATAACTTCTTGTAATATTATTAGTATCTTCATATGTTTTCTTTTTTGTATACTCTTTATTCTCATCTTTAAATGATTCATTTTCTTCAATTTTTATATTTTCACTTAATGGTCTATCATAATGGATAATATTTTCATCTTCATTGTTAATATTATTTATTTTCTTACTTTTTTCATCATTTATCATATTTGTATTTTTAAGCTTATATTTTATTTTTGGTGATTCATTCTTTATATTATGTAATTCTTTCTTATTTTTTTCATATAAATATTTAAAAAAATTAAAAAAAGACAAAATTGTTAAATTATAAATAAGGTTTACATATTTGTAAATGTTGATAAAAAATGATATATATATGTATTGAAACATTCGAATATTAATAAACTTTATATATTTAATAAAACTAATTATTTGATTTTCTTCTAAATATGGAACATTATTAAAGTATACTTGTCTAATATTTTTTAAATTATTTAAAAATATAAAATATTCAATACTCTTATAATTTTCTTTTATGTATTTAAAAATATATATGTAAATAAAAATTCCTAAAAATAGATTTAAAAAGAATTTCAAATAATTTTTCTTTTTGATTTTATCATTTTCACATATAAAATATCTGATTTTATTTCTATTAATTATTTTACGAAAAATTTTTGTTATAATAATCATTATATTTTTCTTATTATAAAAGTTGCTTATTTCACATAATTCATATAAAAACGTTTTTCTAAATTTTAAGTTTCCTGATGAACTAATTTCCTCATTGTTTTTATTTTCTTTTTGCATATTTATTTTTTTAATATTACTTTCATTATTAATGTTAATGTTTTTATTATTATTATTATATCTACTAACATCTTTTTTGTTATTTTTCCTATCAATTCTTTTTAAATTTTCAATAAAAATATGTAAAGTTCTACAATCAAAAGAATAATCATCATCACTTTTTTTTATATTTTCAAAGTCATTAACGTTTTCATTTTTTTTTACATCTGCATTATGATTGAAATGAACTTGATTTTCTTTTTCCTTTTTTTGGATATCATAAGAAGAGTTACTTTTAATATCATTTATGCATTTAAAAAAAAATATAGAATCAACAATAATACTGTTAAAATATTTAAAAAGGTAATATTCTGCTAATTTAAAAAAATAATGAAATATCTCCGTTGTATAAGAGAAATTATTAACATACTTATAACTACTTTGCAAAGCAAGAATACCATACTTATTTATTTTTCTATTTAACTCTATAATAATTTCTGACTTTTCATAAATTCTCAGTTTATTAAACTCAAAATTATAAATTAAAAAGGCAACTTCTACCTTAGGATCGACCATTTTCTATCTTTACAATTAATTTATTTTATTTTATTTTCCTTTTAATTTTTTATATTATTAAAAAAATTCAACATTTTATAAATTAATTGTAATACTATTAAAAGGTAATGAAATTTTAATTAGATTACCATAAAAAAATTTACAAATTGTATTTTCTAAATTTATTTTATTATTTTTAACTTAAGAAATAAATATATACATACTTATTAAATATGATAAATTATACCTAAGTAATCATTTTTCTTTTTTCAAAAAAAAAAAAAAAAAAAAAAAAAAATAATAGTAAGTATATACTATTATGTAAATATTCATCCGTGTGTATTTTTATTTTTATTTTTTTTTTTTTTTGTCTAATTTTCTTATATAAAAAACTTTTTTTTTTTTTTTTTTTTNTTTTTTTTTTTTTTTTTTTTATATTTATTTCACTTAAAAAAAAAAAAATATATATATATATAAATAAAAACAAAAATAATATCAAACTTTAATAAATAATTGATGTTTTTTTATGTAAGTTAATGTTATAAAAAAAAACCATAATACTATTTGAAAATTTACAAATTGATCTTTTATATAATAACTAAAAACAGAAAAATAAAACATAATTGATGATATAAAAATTGTAAACAAACAGATAATCGCCCATATATAATGAAAAGGTAATTTTGGTTCACTTATATAACAGGGTTTATTTATTTCTAATACATGAGTAATTTCTAAAATAGTGTATAATATTAGACAAAGAAAAATAAGAGAACATATTACTTGACTCAAGTTATATTCTCCTCTTGTAAATAATAAAATATTTTTATATACACTATAAAGCAATAGTACTACTTGATATGCATAATTAAGAAGAAAAATTATTTTTTTTTTTTTATTACTAAATTTCATATTTATTTTAAGATAATTTGAAATGTAAAAAGAATCTGTATATTTACTCAAAAATACGTTAAAATTAATAATACTCCAGTAAAAACTTATAAATGTGCTCTCTGATAACATATAATTAGCCATTTTATCAATTTTACATGTTTTCACAGTATATATATTAATTAAATTATTACTGAATATTCTAATACCATATAAAAAGCTTAAAAAACATAAAAAATATATTAAATAATAACACAATATCCACATACTATAATAACAAATAAAAGAATTACTTATATTATATAAATATCTTATTTTCAATTTATTATATATTTTTTCTTTTTCATTTTCTTCGCTACTTTCATCCTTCTCATTGCTAAAATCATTCATATCTAAGTTTATTAAATCATCATTTATATCACTTGTTTGACTTTTTTTATTATTTAGGTTACTTATATTCTCCTTATAATTTACATTTACTAATAAAAATAAAAAATTAAAAATTGTTAAAATTATAAGTAATTCCCATTTTACTTTATCCGTTCCATAGCAACTCGTATATAACTCTAACCCTTTAAAAAAAAAAAAAAAATATATGTATATATATGTATATATATATATATATATATAATGTATGATTTATATAAAAAAATCTTAGACTTTTTTTTTTTTTTTAAACTAACAATCTCTTTTGTTAAATGCTGTAAAAATTGTATGAATTCCAGTAAATATTATAAAAAAAAGAATTGATAAAATTGTGACTGTCACTTTAAGCCTTTTAGCCATAAGAAAATTAAATTTTAAAATAAAATAATGTTTAAATTAAAATGTAATTGTGTTTTTACTTGAAGAGGAAATGTGCTATTCTTATTTATAAATTTATTTAAATTGTTTTTATATGTTTTAAGAAAAAAAAATTATTAAAAAAAAAAAAAAAAAAGGAAAATTAAAAACATAATTTAACGAAAAAATTAAAGTATTAAAATAAAAAAAAAAAAAGAAAAAAAAAAAAAAAAATTGAANAAAAAAAAAAAATTTTAAAAAAAAAAAAAAAAAAGGAAAATTAAAAACATAATTTAACGAAAAAATTAAAGTATTAAAATAAAAAAAAAAAAAGAAAAAAAAAAAAAAAAATTGAAGATTTTATTATAACAAAAGCAAAAATAAATTATTAAAACAAATTATTCACAAAAATGAGACTAACATTTTTATCTGAAATGTTTAAACAAAAAAGTTTCTAGTAAAATTTCTATTTAGTAGATATCAAGGAAAATTTTACATATAAGAACATTTAATTATGTGTATTTTCTTTTTTTTTTTTTTTTTTTTCTTTTCTTTTCTTTTATTTTTTTTATTAGTTTGACTAAAGTAATTGTTAATTTATATATAATAATGTTTTATTATTTTTATTTTTTCTTCCTCCTTTTTTCTATTTTCTATTCTTAAATTTTTTAAATATGCGAAATGACATAACTTTACTAAAAAAAAATTTATAAATATAATTTAAAAATTATGAATATTTATTCAAAATATGAAACTATTTTTATAATAATTTTTAGAATAATCATACATTAAATTATTATCTTCAATAAAAATGTTAATAAATAAAACTACTGTTAATATTACATATAATTAAAAGAAGTTGAAATATTCAAAAAAGAATAAATTTTTAAAAAATTAAAGTAAATTTTTTTTTTTTTTTTAATTTTTAGCTAGAAAAAACAATATTAAATGAAAGAATAACAATTTTTTTTTGAATTTCAAAATTATAAAAAATAAACATTTTTTTCATATAAAGAACTATGGGGAATTAATATATAAATTACAAAACTAAAGAAAATTCCATTTAAAAAGAAGTTATAAAAATTTTATATAAAATATTTATATTTCAAGCATTATAATTTATAAAAGTACAAATCAAAAGGTATTAATAATAAGCGATGTTGTATTTCATAAAAACACCTTTTAAAGAACTAGTAAAATTTGTAAATTTTTTTAAAATTATTTAAAAATAATAAAAAAGAAACTAAAAATTAAAATAAAATAATTATATAGTGCTTTAAAACATTAAATAAATGTTGGAAATTTAAAAATTGTTTTATTAATTGTAATTATTTATAAACATATATAACACATTTTTTGGAAAACAAGTGAAATAATAAATTAATTTATATACAAATTATACATTTAAAATTATATTAATATAAAAAACAAATTATTAAATATATATTATAATAAAATTTAATTATATAGTTTAAATGTCCTTTCGTAAATATTATTAAAAAAAAAATTAACATAAATATATGATAAAAAAAAAAAAATGCTAAATATATAATAAAAGCTAAATATATTAAAATACAAATGAATATATGTAAAAAGAATTTAAAATTAATTTAAAGAAACAAAAAAGTACATTGATATAATTATTTGCATTTTTCTAATTGATAAATATCTAAATTAGGTTTATAATAATTTTTCCATGATTCAGGTATATTACATAATAATTCATTTAAATATTTTTTTTTTTTTATACTATTTTTTTCTATTTTAGTCCATTTAGAATAATTTCTTTTCACTTTTTCAATCATACATTGTGTAATAGTACTCTTGTCTAATGTTTTAAGTGAAATTACTAAAGGATAAACTAATTCTTTCAAAAATGTTCTTTGAATTTGTATAAAATTATCATGACATCTTCTATCAAATAAAGGATGAATTTGATTGCCTCTTTCTAACTCTTCATCACCTTCAAAATAAAACTCATTTACTAATCGTTTCACCCATAAATAGTGTTCACTCCAATCAACACAATTATGAGATAAATCAGCAGCCTTTATTATCATTTTTAAACATAGAACAATATTTTTTTCAATATATGACTTCATTTTAATTGATTTAATTCTAAACTGAGCTAATATTTTTATATGTTTACTCATATCAGTTGCCAATATTAATTCTATTATTTGTTGCCTAAGAGTTATTAATGTTCTGGAGTTTTCATTTTTAAAAATGTTATTTTTTTCTTTAAGTAATATATGAAATAAATAAGAACAATGATAATTCTCTAAAATAGATTTATCATTATAAATTATGCTTAAAAAGTTTGAGCAATTCTTAAGAAAAATATTTGTTCTTCCAAAATGCCCAATATCATGTCCTAAAGAAGCCACAAAAAAAGCAGCCATTTCATTATCTTGTAGTATATTTGCCGTTTCTAAATTGTTTACTAAAATATTACATTGCTGTGTTACCTAAAAAAAAAAGAGAGAAAATATACATTAAATTAAAAAAAAAAAAAAAAAATTAGATAAAGCAGGATATATTATAATAAAAAATAAAATAAAAATAAAAAAATAAAAAAATAAAAAAACATTATTTAATATGTAAATAAAAATTATATATATATATGATTAATTAAAATGTATTAAATACCATTGCTGCATGAATACTATTATGATAAGGTACATCGTTATATCCACTTTTCATTTCATGAAGTAATGAACATAATATTTCATTTGGTATATTTTTACTAGAAGTATAATATTTATGTAATAAATGATTCCCTATTTGAATGAATATATCATCATTTACTGTTTTTTGATTTAAAAACATAGTATTCCATGTGTTCATGTTTAAATTTTCAGAATTCTATAAAAAAAAAAGGAAATTTAAAAATTTAATATAACTTTGTATTATAAATAATTTGTGAAATAAAATAAGTTTAAATTATCATATTTTAAATAAATAATATAACTTATAAATTTATTTTATTCTTTATGTACCATGTTTATCTCAAAGTCACTTTTAAAGCTTTTCATCTCATCGATTTTTGAAAATGATTTAGATTGTAAATCTAATTTTAATTTTGATCTTGTTTCCGATACTGATTCTATCAATGATTCTATTTCTGATTCATCTTTGAATTCTTCCATATTTTCTAACGTAGCTTTATTTTTTTTTATACCCATTAGATAATCATATATATGATTATAGTTCTAAAAAAAAAAAAAAAAAGATTAAAAGATGTGTATTTTATGCATATAAAGTTAAAAAATATTATTGCTCTTATGCTTCATAAACTATTTTAGAATCTAATTTTTTTTTCTAACTTTTTTGTTTATTAAATTTCTATCTGGTGAAAATAAATTGTCTTCTTTTAAAATATTTAAAATTTTTTTTAAATTATTCACAATGCAGAAATTTTTATCTTCAGGGTTCAGATTTGTACTGTTAAAATTTCCTATACACTATAAAAAAAAAAAAAATATATTAATAATTACTTATATACAATTTCTCTGATGATTTTGGAAATTTAATTATATTAATTTTAAGAAGATAAAAAAAAAAAAAAAAAAAAAAATTAATGTTTACATTATTAATTATAATAAAGATTTCTTCAATATTTGTTAACGACAATTTTTCTTTTTCTTCTTTTAAGTTTATTTTTAATTTTATAATTTGTTTTATTTGCTTATTCCAATTGTGAAATGATAATCTTCTTTGAATTTCAATGATATATCTTATCATAAATATAAAGATACTCCCTATTAATGATGACGCTATCATAAAAATACTAAAAAAAAACATATAATTATATATTAAAATATATATATATAAATATATATATATAAAATTTATGTTCTTTTTTTTGTCTTAAAATTTCAATATAGAAACGTTTCTCATTTACGTTGTAATCACATGTTTATTATTTTTTATATGAGATACTTGTCTATTAGAATATAATTTTTTATTGTTATAATATAGAAAAAAGAGTAAATAGCTATTTTCATTATGAAAAACAGTAAATCAAAGATATAAGAGTAACATATTCTGAGAAGAAAGAAAAAAAATTAAAAGTATTTATATGTTTTAGTAGATATAAAAAAAAAAAAAATATATATATATATATGAAAAGAAGAAAATATAACTTTTTATTTAGAAGATAAAATGTATTTTTATGAATTTTTTTTATATTTAAATATATATTAAAATAGCTTTTACCTGCAAGGTAATACTGTAATTAAATAGATAATAGGGATATATGCGAAAAAACATAAAACAACATTTATTTTATTATGCGTGTATGTTGCATATAAAAAATTATTTACATTTACAACAACAGGCAAATGCTCCTTTACATCACTGAATAATATAAATAGCCATGAACACCATAAGATAAGCGCCTGTTTAAAAAAAATAAAAAAGAAATTTATATATATAATAATATCGAATTATTATATATGTTATAATATTCTATGTGTTTTTTTTTTTTTTTTTTGAAAATTTAAATTTAATAAAAATACTCACAAAAATACTGAAAATTACAAAAATTTTTCCTCTTAATGTTTTAAACTTTTCTATGTAATGTGTGTAGTGTAAAATTATAATCATTATGATGTTAAGTGCGACAAATATATGTAAAAACATAAATGTCCATCTTAATATTGAAAATAAATCTAAAAAAATAAAAAAATTTTGTTTTTATAGAAAAAATTATTAAATTATTTACTTATACAAAATATATATATATATATATATATATATATGTATAATTTTTTTTTTAAAAAATAAAGTGAGTTTAAAAAAAAAAATAATTAATCTTACCATTAATTCTTCCAACAATTAAACAAATTGAATACATAAATAAGAGAGAACTCATATGAGAAATCAAAATAAAAAATCTTTTTTTATATATATTATCACATATTTTAACTATATATAGCAACTCTTCCTCTTTATCCTTAAATTTTAATGGCCAAAATTTGATAACCTTTTCCTCTATATTACTAGTAAGGGAAAATAGTGAAAATACATTTTTAACTGAATCATTCTTGTCACATTTTTCCCTATTATCATCTAACATATTTTTAATAAAATTTCTCAAAAAATTTTAATTATAAAAAAAAAAAAAATAAAAAAGCTATAAATAACAAATAAATTTTAAAAAAGTTAAAAACCAAATTTATCGATATTAGCTAAAATGATAGATAAAAAAAAGAATAATGAAATTAGAAAATAGGATATGAAATAGTGTGATTAAATTATTATTATATCTTTAATTATATAATAATGGAGATTAATAAAAAAAAAAAAAAATAAATAAACAAAATTATATACATTTATACTTAGTTACATAAAAAAGAAAAAAGAAAGTTTCTATATTTAAAATATAATGAGAAATTATCAATGATTTTTTTATTCTTTATGAATTTCAGTTATTTATTATTTTCATATTATTTTAAATATAAGCTTTGTAAAATAAAAACACAAATTTTTTTTTGAATAAAAATAGACAAAAGTGCAAAACTTTGGATAGCATTATATATAACACATAAGACGATGTTTCATACAATTATTTGGATTTTCTTTTTAAATACATCTTCATGTTTAAAATTATAACTCACATATATATATATTATTATTAAAAAAAAAATAAAGAACAAATTTGTTTTTTAGAGCAATTCTTATATAAAAAACATGCAACTATTTTTCAAATATAATATTGTTTATTTCAACTATTGAATTGATATTATCTTGTAAATTTAAATATTTTATAAAAAAATATTTTAAAATAATTTTAAGTAGTAAAATTATTTTTACAAGTTCTCTGATCATATTTATCTTTAAAATGCTAAAATTATATTAAGTTGTATGAAGTCATAATGATCTACAAGAGCTGAAGATTTTTATTTTTCTTTTTTTTTGAATATATTTATAATTACATGCGTTTATAAAACATAATTTACATTAATTTAATCTGGAAAAAAATGAAATAGGATAAAATAAAGCAGTTTTTCCTTTTCTTATATTAATATGCAAATTTTATTTCAATGTTCACATTTATATTGATATGTAGAATATAAAACAAAAAAATTTGAAACTTTGTTTTTTTCTCATTCTCAATTAATGAAAAGATGTTGTAAAAAAAAAAAAAAATTAACACTAAATGTATATGGAAGATAATTATATATAAAAAATAAAAGAATAAAAATAATGTTTTCATTTATAACGATAAATTTTAATTTTATATAAATATATATATTAAAATATGTATTAAGAAATTGTGTATTTTTAATGTATTGGTTTTACTTTATTTTACTCTATTCATTTTTTATTTTACTTTTTTGCATGTATTTTTATAAATGAAAGTAAAATAGTTTTCAAGTAAAAAATTTGCTTATTGATTTTTTTTTCTTTTTTTTTTTCTCATACATAATTTTAATATAAAAAGTGATCCATATATTTTTTCATATAATATGTAATTTAAATACAAAATATATATTATATTATGTCTTCTTTTAAATATGAAAAAGTTTATCTTACCATTCCTTGTATATAAATTTTACACATATACCTCTAAAAATAAAATTAAAAAAAATAAATTAATCAACTATATATAAGACTTAGATCATCACCCAAATGTGAAAAACTTTATTAATGATTTTGTTGGATAAATTACGAAAATAAAAAAAAAAAATTATTTAAAGAAGGAAAAATAATAATACATAAGAAAAAAAAGTGTTAAAAATAAATTAGAGAAAAACATACTTAATAATTACTACTTAGTAGAATATTATATTTATCAGTTGCATTTTTATATTTAAAAACTTCTATTTTATAAAAAGATTATTTTTGTATATAGATTTTTTAAAAATAGGAAGAAAAGATAGTCTAATTAATATATTTAAGCCTTATATATTAAAAAAGATAAAATATATATATGTAAAATTAAAAAAATGTATTATATCTATATTTAGTTCATCCGAATATTATTTCCAATATTCTTACAATTTAAAAGAAAAGAAAAACATACACAGAAGATTAGTCAATTTTTATTAAGTGGAAATAATAAAATATCTGAAAAAATATAAATTTAGTTTAACAAAGATGTGATAAAAGTACAAAAGAAAATTTTCATAAAAGAAAAATAAGAACTTTTTTTTTTTTTTTGATTAAGAATCTATTTTGAATATTTAGAAATAACAAACAAGAAATTTATTAATTTCAAAAGTATATTATTATTCTTAGAATACTTATATACACATGCAAAACAAAAAAAAATTAAATCAATAATTATGTGTTAATTATTTTTTTAAAAATAATTATTTAATAATTATGAAATAATAGAAATATCTAAATATTAAGAGTTTTAATGAAAAAAAAAAAAAAAAAATAAAATTTAATATTTCATTACAAATAAATAAAACATTTAATATTTTTAAAAAATAAGAATAATTTAATAATTATTTATATTTTAAGTTAAAATATTATATTACATATTTTACAGTATTTTAAAACTTTTGTTGTACCGTCCTAATTTAATCTTATGCTTTTTTTTTATTTTATTTTTTTTTTTTATATTACTCTATGTTAAAACATTAAATATAACATTTTGATTATTGAATTTAAATTTTTATATCAACTTAAAATAAAAAAATAATCTCAATTACACAAAAATTAAATATATAATTAATTGCACATTTAGCAATAATCTTATCAAAAAATGTAATGGAAAAGTAGATTAAAACTAATTTAGTGTAAATTATAAATATTGTACCCATAAAAATGTAAACAAAAAAAAAAAAAATAGTATGATAATTTATTTGTACCTTTAAGTATTTAAAGATAATATATATTTTTTTTTTTTATTTTTAAACGAAATGCTATTATTATACATTAAAGTAAAAATAGATATATCAATTTCCTTATTAATCCATACATTTATTTTTAATTTTTTAAAAGTTAATAATTTTCTATAATATATAAATAATTTTTCACCGATTAAATTTTACTTCTTTCATATTAATCTGAAAAATAAGATAAATAAATACTTTATAACATATGAATATTTATATTATTTAAAATTTGTTATATATTGACAAATTTGATGGAATTTTTTTTTTTTCTTTTTTTATAATATTTTATGCACTACATGTTTTATTAAAATTCATTTACCCATCTTTTAGTTGTTTTTTTTTTTTTTTTTTTTAACCAAGAAATTTTCTTTTATTTTTTTTATTATAATTTTTTAGTTGTGATATTTAAATTGTTTATTTTATTTTTCATACTTTAATTTTTCTAAATAATAAAAGTATTATTATAAAAATTTATATTTTTAAATTATAATGTGAATATGCACTATTATTACTCTTAGAGGAATAAATAAAGTGAACATTTTTAACATTGAATTTTTTTTTCTTTTTTTTTTTTCTTTAAATATTATCTATTATGTATATATTTTCCCAAATAACAATAAAAAAAAAATTAATAAATAAATATCTTAATATAAAATAAAAGTGCTTCAAAAAAAGATATAATCAAATTTATAAATTTAAATAAGGGAATAACAGTGCAAATATCATTTTTTTTTTTTTTTTTAATAATAGTTTTTAACATTTTAAGGAAGACTGTTTTATACAAATCTAAAATTAATTAATTAGACATAGTATTTTTATTAAAATATAAGTTTTAAAGTTAAAAGACATATATATAAACATATAAAAAAAAAAAAAAAAAAAAATAATAATGTGGTAAATAATGAAGTACTTGAAATGGAAGATCTAGGAAAATTAGAAAAAAAAAATAAAAATATTATTTTAAACTTTGACAAAAATGAACAAGATAAATTAAATTTAAACAATAACAACACTGATGAAAAAAATATAAAAACTAATATAATGAATAATAAAAATATAATAAGTAAAAAGAGTTTTTTACTAAACACATTAACATCTAAAGAAAATAAAAAAAATGAACCTAATATAGATAATTTAGGTTATGATATAGAAAAAAAAAGTGTATTAAAAGATTTAAGCGTAAATAGAAATGATGATAAAGTAAAAAAAAAAAATAGTAATCTAAAAAATATAAATTTTACAAATGAAATTAAAAGTAGCGAATTTAAAAACAGAATGAGAAAAATGGATCATATTGATAATATATATAAAAAGGAGGATTTATCAAAAAATAAAACTGCTTCAAACAAAAATAAAAAAAATTATTTAAGTGTTGAGAATAGTTCTATTAACTGTTCTACTAGTAATTTAAATACAGATTGTAATTCCGATTTTTCAAATATTGAAGTTAAAATATTATCAAATGAAGAAGCAAATGGAAAAGAAATGGCGGAAAAGAATCTTGAAAAAATAAAAAGAAAAAAAAAAAATCAAAAAGGAAATGAAGATAATCAAATTTTGAATAGTATAAAGGAAGAGAAACTACATGAAACAAATGTTAAATATGTAGATCAAAAATTTCGAAATTCTATGAATAAAGATAAAGAAAAAAAAGAATATATATTTTCTAAATCAACAATGTCAACACAGGTTAACGAAAATATTGAAGAAAAAAAGTTAAATAATATGAAAACTAATGGAAATAAAGAAAATACATTGTTGTGTGATATTAAATGTGACAATTCTTATTATGATGATACAGCAAGATTGAATAAGTTAAAAAATAATAAAAATAAAAGTAATATTTTATATCCATCAAGTAAATCATATGGAAATATAAAATCATCAAGTAGTAATATAAAAATAAACAATGAAAAAAATATAAAAACTAAAAAAAGAATAAAAATGGGATTTAAAAAATTTTTTCAAGAAATTTGGAAGAGAAATATAACTATAAAAAAAGAAATATATTCTGGTAATAATAAAAATAGTTCATGTAAAGCTAATTTTGGTGATACTAATTTAAATCATTCCAACGAAAGGGAGTTAATGACACAAGTACCCTTGAAATTTAAAGATAAATCAATAGAAACTTTATATGTTTTAAATTTAAACAATTGGATATCTTCAAGAATGATAATAATAGGATTGATTATGTTAATTCTTTGCTTTATTTTGTGGCCTTTATCTATATGGTCTTTTAAAACTACAAATGCATGGCAAAAAGATAATTATATTGTTATATTATTTCATTTTTTAATGATTTTAAATATCTTAATATTAACATCTTTTATAATAATTGGATCAACTAAATTAAGTAAGTATTCAGAAGTTATGTCATATATATTGTTTGGTATTATGGTTGGTATATGGGGATTATGGAATATAGCTAGCAGTGCAACTGTGAATGATGATTTTTCATTAAAATTAATACCTGCCTTATCATCAGCTATTGAAACTGTTTATGCATTGACTTATATTTATGGTGTTCTACCACTTGTAATAATGGATGTATTTTTTCCATCAAGGTTTCTTATAAATATTATTTTGTTTATATTCAAAAAAAAAAAAAAAAAAAAAAATATTATATTATATTGCAATATTAGTTCATTAAAAAAAAAAAAGTTTAATTTTCAAATATATATATATATATAATTTTTTTTTTTTTTTTTAAATTCTTATTCAGAACTAAATATAATTGGCCTATCCATTTAGTCTTTATATTTTTAAATTCAGCTAGCGTAATTATAGTTGGCATAATGAATCCCGAATTTGTTCCTGGTGTATACGTGTAATTGAAAAAAAAAAAAAAAAAAAAAAACATTAAAAAGTAGAAATAACAAATAGAAAAACCAAAACTTAATTTTTATAATTAAATGATTTTTTTTTTGTTATTATTTTTTTTTTAGAGTTTTTCGAATTATCGCATATACTACTTTATGCATATTTTTATATATAGGATGTTATACTTCGGAGTTACAAACCCGTTATGTTTTTTATAATTTATTGGTAAATATAGAGACATTTGAAATCATAAAAATGATAAAACTTTTTATATATATTTATCCATATTTAATATATATAAATTTTTAATTATCTAAATATATTTATTTTACATGTGTGTTTTTCTTAGCAAAAGTATTATTATGATACATTTTTTATTTAAAATGACTTTTTTAAAAAAAATTTTAATTCTATTTTTTTTAAATATAGATAACTGGATATAAATTAGATAAAGTAGAATCAGACTTGCATAAATATAATAATGATACTAAAATTTCTACTGCTGTTGAAGATTTAGTTCTAATGATAAAAGAGGTTACATGTGATACATTATTTAATCATATTTTATATTTTATTTTGGAATTTAGTAATTAATTAATGTTTTTGTTTTTGTTTTTGTTTTTAAATAAAATATTTAATAATTTTATTTTATAAAAATATTTATTTTTTCTTTTTTTTCTAGTAAATTATTGAATAAAAGAATACCTCTTTTTCTCTCTCTATATATATATTTTTTTCTTATATTATATATGATATGTTTTTGAGACTACATACAACCCACGATTTTTATTCATAAAAATGAAATAAAATAACTTTTTTTTTTTTTTTTTTTAGTGCACTAAAGTTATTTTGGAATTGGAAAATGATATTGATATAAAATTAAGTGCTCATAGTAAAATGTTTTATTGTTCTAATATACTGGAACAATGTTTATCAACTTTAACAAAAACTGATAATCTTTATAATATTGATTATGATGTTTTCGATAATTTTGAAGTAAAAAAAAAAAAAAAATATATATATATATATATATATTAATATATAAAATAATAATAAATTAATAGAAAACTATATAAGTATTCAACATTCATTATCTACTAAAATTTCATGATTATTTACAAATTATAAATTTGTGTGTATTCATGTTTTATAATTTTTTATTTATATATTGAAATATAAAATGTTTCTTTTTATTTCAGAATAAAAAATTTATAGAAGCATATGTGAGTAAGAGTAAAAGCAATTTTTTTTGTGATAATGAAAAAAGTGTTGACTTTAAATTAAATAAATCTTTTTCTAATAACGATTGTATATGTGCTCATAAAGTAGATATAGATAAAAAAGAAATTAAAAAATTTTTAAAAGAAATTGATATTTCTCATATAAGAAAAATGATTCAAGTGATTGACAACAAAACTTTGTCTGCATGGGATTTCAATTGCTTAAATTATTTCAATAAATCAACGTATCCATTTTTTGATATTAATCTTTCTTTAATTTATACAATTGATCATGATATTCCAATAAATTTGATTATAAATTTTTTATCATTTGTTGAAAAACAATACAATAATGTTCCATATCATAATACTGTACATGCTACCATGGTAAGAAAAAAAAAAAAAAAAAAAAAAAGTATAATTAAATAAAAAATAGCTAAATTCATTAAAAAATTGATTCAAAAATAAAATTATAAATAAAGAATAAAAAATTCAATAAGAAAAATGAATATTTTGAAATATTTACTTTTATAGTATAAAAAAGGAAAATTAAATATAATTCATATTATAACAAAAGAAAATTCTAATTTATATATTTTTATGTGTATCAATATATTTTTTTTAGGTAACACAGAAATTTTTTTGCTTAAGTAAAAAATTAGGTATCTATGAGCACATGGAATATAAAATAAAACTAGTTATGTTCATATCAGGAATTTGTCATGATATTGGTCATCCTGGTTATAATAATTTATTCTTTGTTAATAGTTTACACCCGTTAAGCATTATTTATAATGACATCAGCGTTTTAGAAAATTATCATGCATCGATAACTTTTAAAATTTTACAATTAAATCAATGCAACATTTTAAAATCCTTTTCAGAAAAAGTAATATATTCTGTATTCTGAAATTATAAAAATAGATATATGTACTATACACATATTCACATTTTTATGTATATTATATATATATATATATATATTTTTTTTTTTTTTTTTTTGATATTTAGGATTTTAGAATAATACGATCATATATTATTGAATTAATTTTAAGCACTGATATGAAACATCATTTTGAAATAATTTCAAAATTTAGAGTAAGAAGAGAGAATGAAGATTTTGATTATATAAAAAATAATGATGATATGTTAGTAGTGATAAAAATGATTATAAAAAGTGCAGATATATCTCATGGATCAGTTAAATGGAGTGAACATTATAAGTGGTGTCAGAGGGTTTTATGTGAATTTTATTCTCAAGGAGATGAAGAATTAAAAAACAAAATGCCTGTGTCACCTTTATGTGATAGAACGAAACATAATGAAGTTTGCAAATCTCAAATAACATTTTTAAAATTTGTTGTTATGCCATTGTTTGAAGAATTAAAATATATAGATAGCAACAAATTTATAAAGTAACTATATTTTCTTTAAAAGAATTATTTATTAATTAGTATTTTTTAAAAATATTTCTGTTTATCATATATATATATATATATTTTTTATTTTCAGAAATTTTTGCTTAAAAAGGTTAAATAGCAATTGCTTAATGTGGGATAAACTAATGAAAGAAGAAAAAAAAATTGATGTTTATGATCCAAAGTGTTTAAAAAAAAGAGACAAGAATAAAAAAAAATTTGATAAAAAAAAAAAAAGTTATATTGATTTAACTTTATTTTTTATAAAGAATATCTCTGATTAAGAAAAATGTGCAATTTCGTATTTGAAAAAAAAACGTAAAATAATCTAAATATTTAACAAAACCCTTTTACCTAACCAAATTATTTGGTTATTAATTTACGAAATCTTTTTTCTAAAGAAATATATGCATATAAATAAATATTTTTTATATTTTAATTACAAATAATTACATGAATGTTATTTCTAAATATTTTTTCATATTTTTTGTTTTTAAAATAATACATTTTTTATTTGTTTTTTTAGATCCTATTGTTTTATTCTAAGGTATTAGCTTATTTTTCATTTTTATGTGCTTCATTTTTTAAGATATATTTGGCTATTTCTTTTATTTTTTATATATAATTTCTTAATTTTTTAAAAAAATATATGCCAAAAGTACTTTGTTGGCATTTTCTTTTGTTTTTGTTTCTTATAAGATTTTCGTTTTTCTTATTTTTTAAAATTTTTTAATAATTTTTAATCTTTTTTAATAATTTTTTTTTTTTTTTAATGCATTTGATTTTTTATGGAAATTTGAAAACTTAAAATTATTTATAATATATAGTTATTGAAGATTACATAAAATTATTTGATTTATGTACATTTAATTTTAATAAATTTTAAAAGAAAATAAGACAAAACAAAGACAAAAAAAAAAAAAAAAAAAAAAAATTATGAATAATAAAAAAATATATTTTTTTTGAGAAAGTCAAATTCATACAGACACTTTCACAATTTCTTTCCAGTCCACTTGCCTAATGAAAAAAATGAAAATAAATAAATGTAAAAAAAAATTAATATATAAATAAATTTCCCTTTTTTTATAATAAATATGAATATTTTTCTTTTATTATCTTTAATAATATGTTAACATTTTATTAATAGGGGTAAACAAAAATTTTTTTAAATTTAGAACCTTCCCTACGTAATAGTAATTATATTGTATAATTAATAATAATAATATATGTAAATAATAAAAAATAAAATATTAGGCAAATTAAATTTATTTGATAAATATATTGTTTTATATTTTACCTTCATCAAAAGGATTATTGTTTGAATATAAACCTTGAATATCTTCGTATGTAGTTTTATTACATAATATCATTTTTAAATGATAAAAAAATAAGTTTATTAATAAGATGGACGCAGGTAATGTATAAATAATATACAAGGCACTATTGGAATGAAAACAAAATTATAAAATATTTTAATTGAAGTAAATACGTAGAATTATATAAGATTAAAACAAAACATGAATGTTTGTGTGTTATATAATTAAACATATTTTTTAATTTTAATATTTGATAATTCTATTATTTATTCTTTACATGTGTAGGTGTTCCACTGTTATATAATAAACCGACTGAAAATTTAAAGAATCATATTCTTTTATACACAGACTCTATAAAAAGATGAAAATATGAAAATGTATACAAATGATACTTTCAAAAATAAAAGAACAGTTAAATATATATGGGAATTACAATAAAGAATCCAATAAAAATAAAACATATTAATGTAGAAAGAATAGATAAATTTAATATGAAAAAAACAAATCTCCTATAATTCCTATTTCCTACACAATTACCTATCCTAAAATTATAATAATAAATATAATAATAAATATAATAACATATATGTATATATTAAAAATTATATTCATATTTATTTTGCGATTCTTTCATTATATTTTTTAATAATTACCATACACAATGATGATCAAATTTAGTAACACAATTATTACATACATAACAATGTTTCGATCTTGGTTCTTTAAAGTGATTACAGTGAACTTCAAAATATAAAATAAAATTTCTATATATATATATATATATTTCATTTAAAAATTTAAATAATGTAAAAATGTTTGCTATTTCATGTATATAAAAAGTTAATAGATAAACCTACCACACCAATAACGTTTTATAATGGTACCATTTATATTTACAGTAGTAAATGCAGCTAAAAATAAAATGTGGAAAAATTAGTAAATTTTTACATGTATTTTAAGTTAAAAAGAATAAAAAAAAAAAAAAAAATTATTTTTATGTAAATATATTTATATATTATTTTATTATACTTCTCCCTTTCGGTATAGACAAATCAACATAATTTTTTTTCGGGATTCTAAAAATTGTTTTTAAATATTATAGAAATTTAAAAAAGTAATTAGTCCACTATAACTTTTTTTTTTTTTTTTTTTTTTTTTTTTTTATTTNTTTTTTTTTTTTTTTTTTTTTTTTTTTGTTTATTAATTTTTACATTCCAGGGTCACAAAATGCCGTTATTGTTAAAAAGTACAAAACTAAAATAAAAAATATCGTTAATATAAAAATAGTAAGAAAGTATAAAATAGAACTTTCTATTTGAGAATATCTGCAGTTTAAAAAAAAAAAAAAATATGCGTAAATATATATAGATAAATAAATAATAATATATTTATTTTAGATTATTGAAAGAATGAAAATGTTTTATAATTTTGGTTCGATTATAATTCTAACACACAAATTTATTATTTTAGATATATTTGTTTTAATCTTTTTTTTTTTTTTACATTTTTACATTTTATATATTTTGACATTATTCAATAAGCTTTAATTATATATTTAAAGTTAGAAATGATATACTTACACAATTATGTAGATAGGTAAAACAGTAATAATTATAATTATATATGTAAAAATAAGAAAAAATATATTAGGCCCTGTTATGATATTCCCGTAACACAAAAAAATATTGTTGCTTTCATATACTAAAAAAAAAAAATATTTTTATTTTATTTTGTTTTATTTCCTTCTTTTTTTTTTTTTTTTTTTT